GATTGATCAACTGTCTCTCTCTCCCTCCCTCTCTCTCTATCCTATCACACTTTGTCTGTCTACCCCTACTCTCGCTCTTCTTTCTCCCTCCCCCTTTCTGTGTCTACCTCCCTTTGTCTCTCCCTCTTCTCTCTGTTTCTCCGTCTGTTTCTCCGTCCTGCCTTTAACATCACAGTTATTGCACAGGTACAGGTACAAGGCAACTATATGCAGTTTAGGTCTAACCAGAAGTGCAACAGCAGCAGTGCAGGATAAATAATGGTTCCATAAATACAGGACATGGTTCTATTGAATGAGCATAGAAATGAATACCATTATAAACAGAATCTTACTAATAGATGAATATAATATATAGATAACTAGTGTATTGAACTAAATTTACAGCTGGATGATTACCGAATATAATATACAGGTGGATATTACTATGAAAAGGGTTTTTACAGTTATGTACAGTAGCATATGTATAGATGGGTTTTACTATGAAATGAATAAATAAAGTTTGGACAGAGGCTATCTAAACTAAAGTGCAGTGGAAGGTAATGCATATTACAGTTAAAGTACGTTATTGCAAATGTTTATATAAACAATCGGCAGTATAAATCAATATTCAGTCAAGGTGAGTAGTGCAAGATGCATGTAAACAGTTGTTACTATGGTAACAGTCAGGAGTGCAGGTGAACATTACAGTCTTGTAAAAAAACAGAATAGCAACATGGTGGTAGGTGTGAGGAAGGAGAGTCTATCAGTGAGGTTAGAGTTCAGTAAACAGACAGCTGTGGGGAAAAAGTTGTTCTTTAGTCTGCTGGTTCTGGTCCGGAGGCACCTGAACCGCCTGCTGGAGGGCAGGAGAGAAACCAGTCTGTGGGCTGGGTGGGATGAGTCCTTAAGAATGCTGCGGGCTCCATGTAGGCAGCGTTTCTTCTGGATGTGCTCAATGGTGGGTAGTGCAGTTCCAATGATGTGCTGGGCGGCTTTCGCCACCCGCTGCAGTGCCTTGCTCTCTGCAACAGAACAGCTTCCGTACCGCACTGTTACACAGTGTGTCAGGACTCTTTCTATTGCACAGCGATCAGTGTTCTTAGGAAGAAGAGGCGCTGGTGAGCCTTCTTGACCAGGCAGGAGGTGTTGGTTGAACAGGACATGTCAGCTGAGATGTGGGTCCCCAGAAACTTGAAACTGGAGACACGTTCAACAGCCATTCCATTGATGGGGACGGTTTTGTGGGTTCCTGTTGAATCTTTCGGAAGTCTATGATGAGCTCCTTCGTTTTGGTGGTGTTGAGGAGCAGGTTATTTTCAGTGCACCATGTGGCCAAGTGCTTGATCTCCTCCCTATAGGCAGTCTCATCGTTGTTGCTGATGAGACCGATCACCGTGGTGTGGTCCTCAAACTTGATGATGGAATTAGACGCGTACACAGGCTTGCAGTCGCGGTTGAAGAGGGAGTAGAGAAACGGGCTTAGCACACAGTCCTGTGATACGCCAGTGTTGAGTGTAATAGACGTAGAGCAATTGGAGCCTAATTGGACATTCTGGGGTCTGTTGGTCAGAAAGTCCAGAATCCAGTTGCACATTAAGGTGTTGATTCCCAGGTCTTGAAGTTTGGCTAATAACTTTGCCGGAATGACATAGTAAATGCTGAGCTAAAGTCGACAAACAGCATGCGTGCATAAGTGTTCTTATTGTCCAGATGTGTGAGCACAGAGTGCAGTGCCATGGAAACTGCGTCCTCTGTGCTCCTATCGCCGTGGTATGCAAACTGGTGTGAGTCAAATGTGGATGGTAACAAGTCTTTCAGGTGTGCCAGGACCAGCCGCTCAAAGCACTTCATAATGATTGGTGTGAGTGCTACAGGGCGGTAGTCGTTAAGGCACCTTGGGCTGGAGTGTTTTGGCACCGGAACAATGGAAGTACATTTGAAGCATGTTGGTAGAGCTGCTTGGGCAAGAGACAGGTTGAAATGTCCATGAAAAACCCCAACGAGTTGCTCCGCACATGCCCTGAGTACACGTCCAGGGGTGTTATCAGGTCCAGCTGCCTTGTGTGTGCTGATCCTGCTCAGTGCATTGCAGACATCTGTGTGAGTGTTTGATTGGCTGGTGGTCGACTGAGGATTTCAGTTTCACTGTTGTCTCTTTCAAAGCGAGCATAAAAGTAATTCAGCTTGTTCAGGAAGTTGACATCAGATGCTGCAGAGGTGGGATGAGTGGGTTTATAGTCACTGATGGCCTTAATTCCCTGCCACATGCGTCGGGGGTCAGTGTTGGAAAAGTGTCCCTCTATCTTAAGCTTGTAGCAGTGCTTGGTCTCTTTGATGCCCCTTTTCAGGTTTGCTCTGGCTGTGCTATAGGCTGGTGCATCTCCTGATCTGAAGGCAGTGTTGCGTGTCTTCAACAGGAGTCGCACCCTGTTTATCCATGGCTTCTGATTTGGGTATGTGGTGATCTGCTTCTGGGTTGTAACATTGTCAATAGTGGTAATAATATAATCCAGTACAGAGGAGGCGTAACAGTCAATGTCCGTGAGAGAGCCACTGGTGGCTTGACAAGCAAACATACTCCAGTCTGTGTGGAGCAACAATACCTGAAGTGTTAAATCTGCTCCTGCAGGCCACACCTTGATGGTCTTCACTGATGGCTTCACACGATTGATGAGAGGTGCATATTTGGGGGTGAGAAAGGTGATCTGACTGTCCCAGGTGGGGGAGGGGTGTCGCAATGTAGGCTGTAGGCAATGTAGAACATGTTGGGGAAATTTTAGAAGCACTGACTTTAAATTTGAATGATTAAAATCGCCTGCGACAATAAACGCAGCTTCTGGGTGAATGGTCTGTTTTTTACTGATTGCTGCGTGAAGTTCTTTTATCGCAGACTTATACCCCATTTACACTACCCTTGAAAACCCGATCCATGCCGAGACCGGTAACCAGGCCAAGCTTGGTTCTGACCACCGTTTACA